GTTTCAGAGCCTCGGAGATCAGAATTAAGCATGGACATCGAAGGAAATAGACGTGGTAGCCGAAGAAGAAGGGACATGATTAGGAGAGACGTAAGCTGTTTGTCTAATGATCTCTTTTCATCCATCTACTCTTTGGTCTGCCTGGTGAGCATCGAGCAAATTATCCAATACTTTTGACACACCAGTCAATCATATTCTTGTATCATTGTATTAATATAAATCCTTCGCCCAAGTTTCAAAAATATTACTTAAAATTATTTCCCAGTTCGAATTTTCAAATGTACCTGTATTGAAACTGTCAACAACACTATATTATTCTGTGCGGTTTAGGGGAAGAATTGTGGAGACTCAGGCTTGACCTATTGGTATCCAAGGGCCTTTTAACTATTCAGAACTTAAACTTAGAGAGAGAGTAAATTAATTTTTGTAATTGTTAATCTAATGTTATTTTATGTTTACAGTAGTTTGTTTTTTTAAATTAACGTAATTTCTTTTAACTTGTGTTATGTTAATTAACTTGGAAGTATCTGAAGTATATCCTGAAAACTTAGAAACAAATTTGATGGAAAAGATTTCAGCATACAAAGCTGAACAAAATATCTATACTGTAGTGTTCTTTTTCTTTTTCTCCTTTGTTCATACACAAAAGTGTCCAGAAAATTTTAGCTTTATTAAAGCACTTTCACTCTCTTTTTAGTTCTTCGGCTTGAATATATCAAATAACTTGAGTCTCTCAAAATTATTGCAGGTATACCTCTTACTTTGTAAACATAAGAAGCGTGCACTCGCGGTGGTTTTCGTTTTATTGGAAACAATATCATTGGTTGTGGATGTGTTTGGGCAAAGCAGCAGGAGTATCCTTCTTGCTGCATTTCTCTTATCAGCATTCGGTTTTGTGTTGACAATTTTATCATGCATGCTGGAAAGAACCAGAGTACATGCTGAGAAGCAACTTGGGGTGGTGGAGATTAGCTTCTCAGTGGTTCAGTTGATTGCTACATTTCTGGCAGTTTTGGGCATCAAGATCAACAACAATTACACAACACAAGTTTTGCTACTAATTTTTGCTATTATTGCTGCTGTTTTCATTTTCAGAAAGGATGAAAACATTCTTGGTTCTTTAAGGCCCACAAACGAAAATGAGAATGAGCTTCAAGAAAATGAGAATGAGAGTGAGCTTCAGTTAATGGAGGTATGGATGTGAGCATTTGCATATATTTAATAATTAGTTTGCTTAGTAATGAGAGAATTATTCCATAAAATTTTGTGATCCAAGAATTTTGTACATTATTTCTTTCAGACAGTTTCTACTGAAAATGCACGTACTCACGAGAATTACCAAATAAAATCCTTATTCTTGCCTCTTAAACATTTGAGATGGATAAAGATTCTGACATTACAGTCCATGAAGGACTTTATATGGTGGCAGCCCAGTTCACAGGTATGATATGAAATGTCGGTTATTCATTTCACTTTGATGAGAATGAGAATGAGCATTTAAATTGAATGTTGGTTTTTCATTTCCGTTTGATGAGAAGGAGATTCAAGTTCTTGCGTGAGCTTCTAGTTGATGAGAATGAGCTTCAATTAATGGAGGTATGGATGTGAGCTTCAATTTTGTGATCCAAGAATTTTCATTACTTTCAGAACCTGCAGGAAGAGAAGAAAAGAAAATGAAGCTTTTGATTATGTTCATCAGTTCATGGCTATTTGATTTAGTAGAATGAACTTACGTGAAGAAAAGGTTGGGCTACTATCGTATATTATGTAAGGATAATATTGTTCTATTTCACTTTGATTTTCATTTTTCATTTCAGGTTCAATAGAATATCAGATTTCTGGAAATATGTTCTTACGATTCTTCCTTTATGTAATATTATATATTCAGCATATTTGTGTCACAACAATGAGGATTAAAACATAACGAGCATACATCTATATATATTTGTCTAATAATCTTATTACATATTGGAAAATTAATTCGGGATGGTTTTATATTATTGATCTATACTGAGCTGACACTTTGCAAAAGAGGATCGTATTCACTTATAGAATCAGGTAAAACAACGTTTTGTTTAGTCACCATTGGATGACTGAGTGATCAATTGTAATTAAAAATCACTAATTGATAATTAAAAAAAAAAATAAACACCAGCTTGCAATCATGAATGAAACTCCAGAACATGCATATAAATATCAAGTAATGAATTTGACATGAATTTCATTACCCATATACATAAAGCCGAAAAGGGTTTATCACAAAATCATGTAAGAACAACATACAAAGGCCAAAGGAATGAACAACTCATAATAGAGAAAGAGAAAAAAAAGTGGTTTACCATTAGAAAAGCTGATCAGAAGATTGAGAAAGATGAACAAAATAAGGAACCCAGAAACCCTTCTGGCCATAAAATCTGATTCTCGGATTTAGACGCTTTAACATGAGGCATTAATACACAAAGAGCTTGTGTAGAATTAACAAAGTGAAAGATTCAAGGAGGAGCAGAAGTCAGTGAATATGGTACGGTCGGGTACCCGATTCAGAAATTTGAGAATTTTGGACCCTAAAGATGTTGGATCCAGATCCAGATGGGAAGTTGAAATGGGCCTAAAATTCAAATCGAAAACTTTCTAAATACTCCTAAGCCCAATTAAAGACCCACCACCTTTGTAAAAGTTATCAAATTAAAATTTGTAATATTATACTTATAATCCAATCTCACAAACTCTCTCTCAACCCCGACATGATAGTTTACAATTGGTCAATTCACAAATGGGTTCTGTCTTTTTAATTACGAACTAACTAATTACAAACTATTATTTCAAGGTTGTAAAAAAAAGTTTGTAAAATTAGGTTGTAAATCAATCTTTATCCAATTAAAGAATCTTTTAAGACAAATATGACAACGCCGTGGAGCATTAGTTATCGTCCAAGTTGCCAAGATTCTTGGTCACAAACATCTTATTACTTAGATGAAATCTATTAGGATTTGTGGGGTTTACATATTTGAGTAATTGTCATATGGTTGAGTTGGATGTTTATCTAAAGACCTTGAACGGTCAATTTTTTTTTTTTTTTTTTTTTTTATACTAGTAAATAATATTCATGTACTTGTTAGAGTTCATGTTTTTTAAAAAGGTTTGACTAATAGTCTCGATACCATGGTTATGAATAATCAAACAAAGGATTATAAATAATAATAATTTTATAAGTACTATTATATCATATATACATCACACAATCCACCTACAAAGTTACAAATTTATTATAAATTTATGCATACAAAATTATTCCAAATGAATTGTAGCTATTATTCTTTGATCAAGCTTCTTGAGAGTGTTTTTTCTCCATAATACACTTCAAGCAGCAGTAACTGCCAAACAAACATGCATTAGATTCACTCAAGGTAGAGCCGTGGAGGTTAACCTCCTTCCCTGATACTTCCGAAGTTCATGATTATCCAGAATTGTTATATTCAAACTCTCAGCCTAACTCATCTTAAAAACACAAACTCCAACATACTTCCGAAAGAATAATACTATATCAACAATCCTCTCTTATAAATTTTTTCTCACAATCTCGACGTGATAACTCGCAATTTTCTCTTACAATCTTGACGTGATAACTCGCAATTGATCAGTTCATAATGAGTTCCACATGAGTCCCGCATAAATCCCATTAATTAATTGTTAACTGATCAATTATGAGTTATCACGTCATGATTGTGAGAAAATATTGTTGATGTAGTATTGCTCCTTCCAAAATTCATGGGTTCATTTGGTTTATTATTTCATATCTTATTCTCAAAATAACTGTTTGTTTCATTATTTAGGAAATACTATTATATTTTATTCAATTACTTTTAAACCCCTTAAATTTATTAATTTAATTAAACATCCCAAAAAAAAGTTTAAAAATTAACAAAAATACCCCCACCCACGCGTAGTTGCCAGATTCTGACAACCACCGTCGATGATAGCCGAAATCTATCACAACGGGGTACAAACAATCAGAACTGATCAATAATTCGCTAATTTGGTTGTCAGCGATGGCCAAATCTTTGGCTATCGCTGACGGCCAGATCTAGCCTTTTACGATCGTCGACGATCAGATCTAACCGTAGATCTGACTTTTTCTGACCAGATCTGTGATAGATTTGGTAAAAAATAGTCATATCAACGTACGACTGATCAGATCAGACTAGTCTACTTCGTAACACTAGATTCCGACGGTGATGATCAGAATTTGACACTATAAGTGGGTGAGAATATTTTTATCATTTTACAAATTTTTTATATATTAAGATATTTAGTTAAATTAATAAATCTATTAAAGATTTTTTTTGTTAATTTTTATTATCTCTAAAATCCTATCCAAAATAATAAACCGAACAAATCCATAATTATCCCTACTCTTATTAAGAAAGACAAACTCCAACAAACAAATAACTGTTATAAACCATATTTACCCTTACAACCTAATCTTACAAGAGTAATGCTATGGGTACTAACGGATGGATACTAATCTATGTACTAACTAAAGCATAGTATCCATACTATACATATAATACCCATACTATACTTTAATTAATACACAGATTAATACCCATCCATTAATACCCAAAATATTATTCATCTTACAAACTTTATTTTACAATCAATCATAATAATGCACCACGAATCTCACGTACGTAATTAAAAGCTAACAACTTACAAACTACTCCAAATTAATTAATTATGAACTACCATTGGACTATTATTACACAAGTAGCGGAAAAGAGGAGGAAACATCCATCAATCAATCAATCTATCACTTCAAAAAAGCAACTCAACACAAATTCCAAACTATCATCACTGTTATCTAAATACGTTTACCCCACAAATCCCAGCCGATTATAAATATCCAACATGTTTTGACACCGAATCCGTTAAATTAAATATCAAAAGCTGAAAAACGCAAATCGTTATTTTAGATACTCCCAAAAATCAATTTATAGAAGTGATCTCTTAACAGTAAATGGCTGCTTCATTTGTTTATTTATAAACCAACTTGCTGAAATGTTACACCTTTAGCAAAGCCACCACACATAATAAAATTGCTTCGAAATAGAAATTCAATCCATAACATCTTTATTCTAACAACACAAAGACAACTTTTATATGTACGACAAACACAAACTCAAAACAACATCTCCATATTACAACTAACCACCCTTCTCATCTCTTCATACCATTTTGAAGCTTAAAAGCCTCAATATTCCGCTACTCGCCACGCCTCCACACACATACACACATTACCATACATATGCACACACTTACATTTCCTTCTTCGACACAGGTAGAAGCATAGAAAAACTTTGGACAGTCTCCCCTCCTCATCTTCCACAGGAGCCGTAGGTCTCCCCTGTTGAGACCATCCTCTCATTGCTTCCTCCCTCCCTACCTCCTCCTCCCTCCTCATATATCACACGTCGTAAGGAGTAGTAGGTCCCCTGAGTCCATCCCCGTTCGCCTTCTCATATGCGTCCGATGTTGACCTTCTACGAAACCGAAAACTCTCTCTATTACCTATTCATCATCCACGGTAGAAAAAGAAATTAACAGATTTCAAACTTTCGTAAGCACCTACAATATCCTTGACAGCCCATGTTTTATATATATTAAAGAACCCATCTGCTGATGCCACAATATTAAACTATAATGTTACGTGCCTAAATAGGTCTTGTCAACTTCAACCTTCACCTAACACGACCATTTTCCCATTAATGCCAAAACATGACTTCATCTTATACATTGCATGCACTAACCTAATGATAAATAAGATCATCATACTCTAAACTTATAAAACCAATATGTTTGCATGTATATAGACATACGATAACGTTACTAGATCGATTACAACAGTATGGTATGAGGCCGATTTGATGTTAAACGTTATAAATGCGATGTTACACGTTGTAACACGCTAAGGTGGTGATATAGTAGCACATGCAAAGTCCATGACCCACATCATAAATTATTGAAATATAGGGGTGGCGAGTGGTAGCCACATCATAAAGTGATTTTTAGATGGGATGGGTTCAATAATATTATAATAATACTCAAATGTGGACTCCATTGACTTGATTGAGAAAATACAAGATTAGGGCAAAGTGGAATCCACCACATATGTGCAAATACCAATAAACCCATCATGATTTAACACCACCACCCATTTCTCAACTACGATTTTGGCCAAACTTTGGAGCCCTAAAGTCCATGCATAATAATTGCAAAGTCAGTCAATGACTCAATAAGGACAAATCTGTCATTTTCAATACGCCCACAAGCCAAAAATAAATGAATTCAAGATAAAGACACGAATACATCGGTCCTACTTAAAAGTTTATTAACTTTATTTCATCACCTAACATAATCACATCGCATGAAGTTACCGATATACCCTACTCTACTGTGCGCTAAATGACAAATATATCCTAGCTTTTCGTTGGTTGATTCCTGTTATCACAAACTCCATTATTATCGGAGAGGGCATTTTCGGAACTTGAAATAATAAATCATTCGTCATTTGAACAAGAAGTTTAGGCTTACCAGAGAAAGGAGATACCGGAGGCGTAGATCCGGCCGGAGAAACAGGCGGCGACCCGTTCTGATAACCAGGTGGTTTTACTATCATGATACTCCGTGTAACTTTCGCCGCCTCCAACGGCGATTCGTCAACGTCTGATCTCACGTTCCCGCCATTAGATTCTAATCACAACCAGTAATCAAAGCATCAGAAATAATTCAAAAAGTACAGAGACAAACAGAACTAGAACCAAAATTCAACGGTAGCTAACTAAAAAACTAACTCCACTGCCGCCGCTTTAATAACTCTTAACAACCTTAAAATTCTTGTCCACTCAGCATGTAACCGCCAATTAAACAGACTAAATTTAAAATCTGTTTTGTTTAAATAATGCGAAGGTTAATAAAAAAATCTTAGCCGTCCGATCACTGATTCATCAATGATTGTAGTTCGATTTTCACTTTTAATTTATTTTCTTAAAAAATGTTATACAGAATCTGCCGAAATGCGCCACCAGCGTAGTGCATACCCTTGCCGGAATTTGGTCGGAAACTGAAGGTGGAGTGCTTTCGAAGCTTGCCAAGCCCGGACTCCGGCCGAGGCCCGGCCAAGGTGTCGTCCCACAACTGGTCAAGTAAGCTCATGGCGCAAGTGAGCAAGACTCGAGTGTTTTTAACAAGACCGGCTGATGTTAACGAAATGATCCTCTCTCACTCAAGAGTCTGGGATAGAGTAAATAACGGCAGAGGGACGAAGATATTTAACGTGAAGTGAGAGGTTAAATATAGAACAAGTTTGTATAAAGACCGAACAACTAGGAGGAAATGTGAGCCGTTGATGGAGATCTAAAACTGGAATGGTGACGTGGCGAGTGGATCGAGGAGCACGTTGTAAGGGATAAGATCGATATGACAGGTGGTGGGGCCCGATGACAAGGAGTCTGATGTAAGGGTTGACACGTGCCAAGTGTAGATATGTAGGAGGGGCATGTCACGTGAGCGATCATTTTTTGTCTAGAATGCTCCTCACTTTAATCCGTTCTGGCTCTAAATGTAAATGGGCTTGGGTTTTAGTTGGAATTACGGATTTGACCCTATAGATTCCACCCCATTTTTAGATATTAAAAGTGGTTAATAGGGTGATGAAAAAATGTAAACCTTAAAAAATTAATTAAAATACGTATCAATTGACCCGAAGTATATAAAAAAACAAAAAAACATATCTCCCCAAACCACTTTTGGGTAACTAGATAGGATTATATAAATTTTTAGGTATATTGTTCTCTTGAGTTCAATTTTTCTTTACTGTACTTGATCATTAACTTCAAGACCTTAAAGATTAGTCGAAGTACATACGAACTAACCTAAACACCCCTAATCACCAAACCATATATATAAAACATAAGTGGTTAATAAAATATTTATATCACCCCCACTACCGACTATTTTAACATAATAAACTTGGACAGAAGGAGATTTCTATTATTACTATAACATAGAGGGATTTTTGTTAATTGATGATAAATTAGAGAGACTATTGTTACCTATGTTAAAATTCAGCACTTGAAACTACTGAATTAATGTTTACTTCTTTGTCAACCCTTTGATCATAAATCAAGGGAAGATGGTCGACAGTGGAAATTGTTGGGTTAATATTTCCTTTTTGTCAACCCTAATCATAAATCAAGGGACCATGATGGAAACATCGTACAAGCAACTTATAATAGAGTCCAAAACGAAATAAAATTGAAGAAATACCAGAAAAGAAGAACAAACAATAGAGAGAGGATAAGGAACAAAGAAATAAGTAAATGTCAACGTTATTTGTTATACTGAGATATGGGATGAGCTTGAATCAGAAGAAAATCTTATCCGAATTGCTGAAAACTACTTGCTTGGTCTGTACATGGCCTCGATCAAAGATCACAGCATGGACATTGAAGGACATAGAAGTCATCGCCGAAAAAGACGGAACGTGTGGAGTTAAAAACTCAAATTAGAGTGAAAATTTTAAAAGTCAAAAAGAGAAAATAATATTGTATGGGGCCAACGTGTCTCCTTTCTCAACTTTTTTGTTCCATTTACACTTGCATTTCTACACAAAATGATATCCCAACATATTTTTCACAAACTTCAATGTTTTACAAAGGGTAATGCTATGGGTACTAATGAATTCTACAAGGTGTACAACTTAAGTATAATACGGGTACTATGTGCATAGTATGAATACATGTGTGATTTAATAAAAGTTAGTACATGGTTAGAAATCCGTTAGTATGCACAGTATATTCTTTACAAAACAAAAGTGGTACGAGAAATCGGTAAAAGAAACCCTAGTAACGGCGTTTTCTAGTAAACTTAAACAGATAAGCTAGGTCATCTATTCATATACTGCGTAGAAATCTGCACTACAAACCAGCTATAGATATCTAAGAGTGAAAACAAACGATTAATTATTGATGTCAACCCAAGGATTAGTCTCATAGTCAAATATATTTGTTTCTTTCGTGGAGGTCTTGGATTCAAACTTTGAAGGTGATCTATTACTTTATAATTTATCTAATTTTTAAGTTTGTATAGTGTTTAATAGACTTCGAAAATTAATTGAAATACATAAAAACTGACATAGATTCTAGTTAAAAAAAAAAAAAAAAAACACTAATTCTTGATGTTGATTTTACTGTATGGTTTCCTTGAAGCTTATATATATATATATCTTTATTATCTTATGTCACGTTAGAAAAAAAATATATAAAATTTATATGTGTAATATTCAGGTAATGTTTATGTTAAAGGAAAAAAAGTTTTTTTTTTTTTTTTTTTTTTTTTTTTTTGGTTAGTTAACATAACACTAATATAATAAAATCATAATCAAATAAGTTTAATAGTCCATATAAATAAAATATTTGCAAGTAATTTATAAGAAATAATTATAGGAATAATACGTAATCTGAAAATTAACCAGATTATATATTTTATTAAAATTAATAAGATTTAATAGTTTTTGAATAAATAAAATAAATTGATTTGCATAAATAGATAGCTGTCATCTTTCAATGTAATATTGATGTAATTGCTTTAACATGATTTCTCTTTTGACAATCGTAGTAGATCGAAGAATACATACTAATCTAAGCTTTCCTAAAGTTGATTGCACTATTATTATATATTAAGATGTAAATGACAGACTAAAAGTAATCAAAAAATATATATCACATGCATCGGTTGTGTAAAGAGTTCGTGAATTGTGAATTTTTTATTTTTTATTTTTATGACTAGGAGTGTTTATGTAATTATGCGATATTTTAACTAATTTTTTGGATCTTAGAATTATTAGTCAAATAAGAACTCTAATAGTTACATTTATTAACAACTGAAAAAAGAATCGAACTCAAAACCTTTGAAAATATTTCTAAGAATTTTTATCAACTATCGATCATTCAGAGATAGTATATGAATTTGTGAATTGTGATTGCTTTTGATGCCCTGCATATAATTCTTTCTTGACGAGAAGAATGATCTTGTAACAGGCTTGAGAGCTAAGGCAGATCACTCACTTTCATTCTTTCTTCTTTTTATGCCATTTTGTTTTCCTTTTTCCTCTTTTAACATTTCACATCAACTATAGATACATAAGAGTGAAAACAATAATTAATTCTTGATGTTGATGCTTTGCTGCATGGTTTTCTTGAAAGTTCAGGGTTGCCAATATTCTTTAGCTCCTTGACAGTTGATTTTGTTGTTTTAGTCGATCTTCTCAGCCATTCAATAGAGTAATGGTATAGGTACAAAATTATATACAAAATTGTTTGATTATTTTTTATTTTAGATTATTCATTCCCATTTATTCAGTATTTATTGAGTTGATTTTTTATAGCAATCTTTTAATCATCTTATGTCACGTTAGCTATAGAAAAATTGGATGTAAAGTTTTTTTTTTTTTTTAAATGGTATTGATGGTACCCTTGCCTGGCTACAACTTGAGCCCAATACACTTTAGTCTTTTAAACTCCTTAATCCATCCTTCACTCCATCATGCCAAGGGGTAGTTTTGTATGTAAAATTTAAGTGTAGTAATCCGTAAAGTTACATGACACTAATATAATGCTAATTGTTACGATATAGTCAAGTGTTGGTAATTTATAAGAATTAAATCATAAGAGCGGGATCTTGAGTGCGTTAGCGTAAGCCGATAGTCTGTGCAAAGTATAAACCACGTCTAACAATCTTCCACTTGGTGAATGCTTCAAAATCAATGCACGATTCTGCCAATTCACTCTCATCAAACCCACTGGTTGTACACCACTCAAATGTTGTTACTCACCGTTTTGATTAATAAACATAGTGTGATACCAATTATTGAAATACATCCAAAACACACAACAATGAAAGTATAAAAGTACAAAAAACAATCATTTACATTGGTTCATCCCAATGAACAATACGTTAACATTTATAGTAGTTTTATTTAGTTTTAGAAATCTGCAGAATACAATAATAAAAAATATCGGCAGTTCACTCTCTCTCTATATTTATATTTCTCACATTAGGTTTTTACTACATCACTAAGGTAATATAAACCTAATCTCATTTAGGCTAAATGTTATAGACCCAAATATTTACAAACCAACTTCAAGTCCATTACATGGACTTATTGTAAATGGGGCATTGGCCCCTCGCCCCCGCTTTCTCACCTACAAGCGGGATCGCCACCCACTTACCGAGGAGCAGGATCTCTGAACGGTCAACGTAAGTAGATAATTTGTCAAGGTCATACAAAGTATGAACCATATCCAATCAAAACATGTGAACACAACTTGCACTATTTATGCCACTTTTTCTACACTTTGGTTTTGAATACGTCATATGACTTGATAAATTATTTGTAGGGATATGAGTTCTTTTTCACTTGATAAATTATTCTACTATATTTTGACATCTAGGTATTAAATTTCGATATTCTATTGAGTTTGAGAATTTTCCTTCAACATCTTAAAGCCTCCTCGTACTTCCACTGAGAAAATGTATCTAAAAACATGAACCATCTCTTTCTCTTAACTACTCTCACCCAGGGTTTCTGATAACAGAATATAGAGAATTGACAGTGTGTTTCAGAGCCTCGGAGATCAGAATAAGCATGGACATCGAAGGAAATAGACGTGGTAGCCGAAGAAGAGGGACATGATTAGGAGAGACGTAAGCTGTTTGTCTAATGATCTCTTTTCATCCATCTACTCTTTGGTCTGCCTGGTGAGATCGAGCAAATTATCCAATACTTTTGACACACCAGTCAATCATATCTTGTATCATTGTATTAATATAAAATCCTTCGCCCAAGTTTCAAAAATATTATTAAAATATTTTCCAGTTCGATTTCAAATGTACCTGTATGAAACTGTCAAAACACTATATATTCTCTGCGGTTTAGGGGAAGAATTGTGGAGACTCAGGCTTGACCTATTGGTATCCAAGGGCCTTAACTATTCAGAACTTAAACTTAGAGAGAGAGTAAATATTTTTGTTATTGTTAATCTAATGTTATTTATGTTTACAGTAGTTGTTTTTTTAATTAACGTAATTTCTTTTAACTTGTGTTATGTTAATTAACTGGAAGTATCTGAAGTATATCCTGAAAACTTAGAAACAAATTGATGGAAAAGATTTCAGCATACAAAGCTGAAAAAAATATCTATAATGTAGTGTTTTTTTCTTTTTCTCCTTTGTTCATACACAAAAGTGTCCAG